AAAAAAAAAAAAATCAAAAAGATAATGTTGCTTATTGCAGCAAATTATCAAAAATATTCATTCCCTTTTCTGAAAAATATTTTTACCAGAAATACCTGGTGAGATCAAACTTAATGGTTACATTTTCTATAGATTGTTTCTCTGGTAAGTAACCTGGGGTTTTTTTGTTTTGATTTTTTTCTTACCCAGATATAATAACCTAATTAAATACTTGCCACCAAGTATTGGTTTTGTTTTTCATGTTACAGTTCAGCCCCTAATTGAACTGAGCTTAAAATTATCTAAAATCCAACCTATCCATCCAATTATACATTTTTTGAAATTTAAAGTGTTATGTTATCTTACAAAATAATTTTTTTTTTTTAAATCTTACCAAAAAAAGAAAAATATTTTTTTTTAAATAGAGTCTCACTATGTCACTGTGCCGTGGCATCACAGCTCACGGCAACCTCAAACTCTTGGGCTTAAGCAATTCTTTTGCCTCAGCCTCCCAAGTAGTTGGGACTATAGGCATCAACCACAACGCCAGCTATTTTTTTGTTGCAGTTGTCATTGTTGTTTAACAGATCCAGGCCAGGTTCGAGCCGCCAGCCTCAGAGTATGTGGATGGCGCCATAACCACTGAACTATGGGCACCCAGCCTATCTTACCAACATTTTTAACAATATCCTATTTCCATGTCTGTCCAAATACTTTCTGCCATCCTTATGAGCACCAAATACTATCTAGTTCTAGATATTCAGTGGCCCATTATCAGGAACTCTTCATTACTTTGTTGAAACAATTTGAGTCTTATAATCATGTGTTGTGTTAAAAAATAGGAAATCGTTTTTTAAATCTGTCCACATAACCCCTTTATTATAAAGAGATGCAGAAGTTTTGAACAGTGAACATATCTCTGCCTGAGGAAGTTTGGACTGTGTGGTGTGAGCTCTATAAACATTGGACTAATGTGTTTAAGGTATATTTGGTGGTAAACTTCTCACTTTAAAATAGATGATGCAGTCATTACTTTTTAAAAGACTAGTGTTACATAAACCCATCTGTAATTACTCATGTTAACAGATCACCCAGTGTTTCAAGTACCTTTCTACACAAATGACTTGTAAAGACATAGGGTTTAGCCTGCTATTAATAAACAGTCCAATTGAGTATCTTGTACTTTCTAAGTGTCCAAAAGATTGTTGAATCAATTTTGCAATTGAACAATATAATTTTAAAATACCACATCCTTGTTGTCATTTTATTTATTGTTTATTTTAACTAAAAACAAAAACCCAGTATAAACTATATATGTGTATGTACATATATATATACATACATACTGAAATTTATTACCAAAAACTTAAGTCAAAAGAAGTACACCCCCTTGTGGTTTGTTATTGCAATCGCAAATCCTTCACCTTAAAATGAAAAGAAGGTAGCTAAGAGCTTTGCAATTATGTTCTTCACTGATGATTTTATAAAACTAACATATACAATCTCTGAAGTTCAGATGGCAGAAGAAAGCCAGATCTCAAAATTTTATTTCTGAAAAATCTAAGATATGCACAACAGATAGTTTTCTTCTAAAGAGGAAAATACAGGAGTCCTTAGCCAATGAAAGCCAAAACTCTTTTAAGGAGCATAATGTGGGCTCTAGAAAGCTCCTAAATCTGATTTTTTTTTTCATAAGCATTAAGAAGGCGACCTTTAGAAAACAAAAATCTTAAAAATCTCTCTACAGGGAGTTGGTGAAGGAGAAATCTCCATAAAAATAGAAAGAAAGAAGGAAAGATGTGAGGTGGTTGCAGGTAAGGGGAGAGGCTGCCCGGAGCCCTTGGTGGGCAGCCTCACTAATGACCTTCTCATCTTAAAGGTGCTTAGTAGGGAAGCCAAACCCACTTTTGATGCTTTGCCTTTCAGCTGTTTGGCAGCGGAAATGATTGCTGCCTGAGTACAGAGCAAGAGCACGAATTGGGTCACCTCTTCTGAAAAGTAGCAAAAGTTGCAGTTTCAAACTGAACTAGGGATTGAGGATGGACTGAAGCTGGAGTTCATCCCTGTTCTCAAAGAGAGTATGCCTGGCATTATGGAGTCTTATGGACTGCAGGTCTGTGTCCTCCCATAATGAATAAGTGGAAAGGCCAACCCCAAATCTGATATTTGAAGGTGGGATTTGATAGGTAATTGGATTGTGCTGGTGGAGGCTTCGTTTGTGAGATTAGTGCCTTTATAAGTGGGACCCAGAGAGCAAACTCTCATTCTCCATCAAGTGAAGATACAGCCAGAAGTTGTCAGTCTGCATCCAGAAGAATCCCCCCAGG